TTGCTAAAAACGTCCTCAATCTGATTGGGCGCGGGGGAGGAACATTGTTTTGAGGTACGTTTGCTGAGGTCGACCCCTTCCAGCTCTCCCATCCACGCTCGTCTGTCTGGAACAAGTAAACAAGACGAGTGTGGATGGGAGAGTTGGAAGGGGTTGACCTCCAGCGATCGTCCTCAATCAGATTGAGGACGTTTTTAGCAAAGGCCAGCTTAGGAGTACCCTAATTAAGCTAATAACAATGTACCTACATATATAGTTTAAGTTTAAAAAATTTGGCTCTCAAAAGAAATTTCAATCGTTGTACTGTTGATATTTGGCTCTATTGACTAATGAGTTTGCCAACCACTGCCCTAGTTGGTTTGGCTCAATGAATAGAGCCTGCGGACAGAAGGGTCCCGGGTCAAAGGCACATGCCTGGGTTTCGGGCTTGATCCCAGGGGATCAAGGGGGCGTGCAGGAGGCAGCTGGTCAATGATTCAGCATTGATGTTTCTATCTTTCTCTCTCTCCCCTCTCCCTTCCTCTCTGAATCAATAAAAATATATATATTTTTAAAAAATTAGCACGTTAAAAAAATCCCTAAGAACCTAACTTTCCATTTTAACAATTTTTAAAGTTCAAACCCAAAACAGTTTAACAACCAAAGTTGGTTTTTTCTAAGTCAACAAAATTGACCGAGAGAGACACACAAGCCCTAATTGGTTTGGCTCAGTGGATAGAGCGTAGGCCTGCGGACTGAAGGGTCCTAGGTTCGATTCTGGTCAAGGGCATGTACCTAGGTTGCGGGCACATCCCCAGTAGGGGGCATTCAAGAGGCAGCTGAATTGATGTTTCTCTCTCATCAATGTTTCTAACTCTGTATTCCTCTCCCTCTCCCTTCCTCTCTGTAAAAAAATCAATAAAATATTTTTTTTTTAAAAAAAGAGACACAAATTATTAAAATTAAGAGGACATTACTATGAACCTTACGGAAATGAAACTATAAGAATATAATATAAAACAATTTTATGCCGACACATCAGATAACCTAGATGAAATGGACAATTCGTAGAAAGACACAAACTACCAAAACTGACAAAAAGAAATAGAAAGCCTGAATAGACCTATACCAAGTAAATATACTGAATTGGTAATAAAAAAAAACAAACCCCAAGAAAAAGCACAGGACCAGATGGCTTCACCGCTGAATTCTATGAAACACTGAAAGAATGAACATCAATCTTTCCCACAAATTTTAGAACACTTACGAAGTAATTGTATAAGGCCATTATTACCCTGATATCAAAATCAGACAAAGAAAACTATAGAACAATATCCCTTAGGAATTCTATATAATAAAAGGCTAATATGCAAATTGACTAAATGGCAGGAGGACTGGTCACTATGACATGCACTGACCACAGGGGGCAGATGCTCAATGCAGGAGCTGCCCCCCAGTGGTGAGTGCACTCCCACAGGGGCAGTGCTGCTCAGCCAGAAGCCAGGCTCACAGCTGCCCAGCGAGTGCAGCCACGGTGGCAGGAGCCTCTCCCGCCTCCACGACAGTGCTAAGGATGTCTGAATGTGGGCCTAAGTCATCAGTCGGACATCCCCTGAGGACTCCCAGACTGTGAAAGGGTGTAGGTCGGGCTAAGGGATGTCCCGAGTGCATAAATTTTGTGCACCGGGCCTCTAGTCTAGAATAAAAATGCTCACCAAATACTAGAGCAAATTGAATTCAGCAACATATAAAAAGCATATATAAAGATAAATCTTTCATCTTTTACTAAAGATTTCCATGGAAAGACAAAGTGATATTTAGCCCAGGAATACAAGGTTTTTGTTACATCCCAAAATTAACATTACACATCAATAGAATGAAAAACAAAAACCACATGATCATCTTAATTGATGCAGGTAAAGGATAAGATAAAAATGCTTTCGTGATAAACTACCCGAAGAACTAGAACTAGACAGTAAGGAAAACTCAACTTGAAGGACATCCATGATAACAACATACCTAATGGTGAAATAATGGATACTTTCCTCCTAAAATCAAAAGACAAGGATATCTACTTTCTACTTCTAATCAACAATAGACTGAAGGTTCATGCTAGAGAAATTAGGCAAGAAAAAGAAAAGGAATCCAGATAAGAAAAGAAGAAATAAAACTGTCTCCATTCACAGATGACATGACATATAAAAAACTTAACTAGTGCAAGACTTATGTAATAAAAGTAACAAAACATCACTGAAAGAAATTAGAGACGTAAGTAAATCCCAGATTCATGAATTAGAAGTCTTGATATTAAGATTACATATTTAACATAATCAAAAGATTCGTTTGACACAATCATTATCAAAATACCAATGGACTTCTTTCCAGTTTCTTTGCAAAAGTTGACAAGCTGATCCTAAAATTCATATGAAAGAAGAAGGGACCCAAAATAGACAAAACAATCTTGAAAAAGAACGAAGTTGGGAGAGTCATACATCCCAAGTTAAAAAATTACTAAAAAGTTATAGTAATCAAAACTGTGATACTGGCATAAGGACAGACAGATAGATCAATGGAACAGAAATAAGAGTCCAGAAATAAACAGATACATTACAGGCCAACTGATTTTCTTTTTTTTCTTATTAAGACAATTCAAAAGGGAGAGACCAGCCCTAGCCTGTCTGGCTCAGTGGATAGAGTGCTGACATGCAGGCTTGATCCGCAGTAAAGGGCATGCAGGAGGCAGCCAACCAATGATTCTCTCTCGTCACTGATGGTTCTCTCCCCCTCACCCTTCCTCTTGGAAATCAATAAATCAATATAAAGGAAAGGGAAAGACCAGCTTTTTCAACAAACGGTATTGGGACAAATATTCACATGTAAAACAATGTTAACAGGAACCCTATTACACACCATATATGAAAAAAAAATGGAGTACGTATTTTATGTGGTACAATACTTTAAACGTATTGGATTATCTGAAATGCCATTGCTTTTAATCATTCAACCTTTCTTCCCCAAATCAACAATTACCCATATAATCCAATCCCAACATTGAATGGTCATTTTCAAGCATGCTCTTCTTACCCTGCACAAGCTTGTAAACAGGCCAACATTGTTGCCAGAGTTTCCGGAGGAAGTTGAGCACTTTTGGGCTGATCTTTCTCTGGGGCAAGTCCACCCAAAATAGAAGGACACCGCCTCTTTAAAAAAGTCATGCATGCCTGGATAAAAGGCTCCTAAGAAAGAGAAAAGTCTCTCAGTGTATTTGAAAGTGATCTTAATTGCTTTTGGATTAAAAATAAATTGATTTCAGATTAAGGACTAAGCACTATAACTAAAATCCAGAATAACATCTTAATTGCCATTCACATAATTACTTTTCTTCAGCTATTTTAGCCATCAATATTTAAAATTAGTAATAAATGGACAAATGCTTACTCCATGCTCTCGAATTTTATCTGTGAGCCACTTGTCAAGTTTGAGGTATTCACGACGTGAAGCAAGTGCAGCAAGGTCAATAACAAAGGCAAATGGAGTACCATTTAGCAGCATTGACAAGGCCTAAAGAAAAAGAATATTAGAAACTGTAAGTCAAACAATTAAGTAATTTTCTATCTGTCTGTCCTATTTTCTGATGCCTGCTTTTATTTTCACAAATAAGTCTAAATAAAACATACTGCTAACATTTTCTTGGCCATAATGTTTTAAACAGGTTAATCCCACAATAGAAACATTAGTCCCTACTTAAAATAAGGTGAACATTTCAACCAGACTTTAGCTTCAAAATAAGCTTTATCCTATGCTTTTTCAAATAACTAAATCTAAAGCAGAACAAGACAAAAAGAATGAAAAATAACCCCAACCCAGTTTAAAAAAATCTGAACTCAGGCTTATTTGAACCGTAGCAGAACTATTAACAACTAATACTATGTCTGTGGTTATCAAAAGACATCAAGAGTTAGACTATTTCTTCAAAGGTCCTGTCAATGCTAATGAAATTTGCAAAAGGGTTGAAACCCAAGCAACTTTCCCAAAAACTATATCTCCCAGATTACATATGAAAAGGTCAATTATGACTTCCTTTAAAATAAAATCGATTTGCAAATCTCATTGAAAGACTAAACAAAATTCAATCCAATATAAATTAATTTTGCCACTTAGATATTTTCACATTAAAACCACTTTGCTGCCCAGTTGGCATGGTACAGCAATTGAGCATCAGATTATGAACCAATTCCCAGCCAGGGCACATGCCCTGGTTGTGGGCTCAATCCCCAGTGCAGGGGGCAGCCGATGAATGATTCTCTCTCATCATTGATGTTTCCATCTCCCTCCTTCCCTCCCTCTCCCTTCCTCTCTGAAATCAATTAAAATATATTTAAAAAACAAAAACAACCACTCTGCTTCTAATCCCTTTCTACTTACAATATAAAATTCGTATCTCAACTCAACTCATTCTAGCTAAAAGCTAGTTACATATGAATTCTTCATAAGGCATATGTTATATTAAAAAATGTTAATTTTTATAATTAATAAAAGTGTTATTCTGTCCCTCCAAACTCACCTTCAAGTCCTGGGCCACATCAAGTATTCGAGACAATTTGGCCTGGTCATAATGCTCTCCTCGCATGTACCATTCTGCCATTGCATGCATGATAAGTTGGCGGATAGAGGGAGACTGTCCCTAAGAAAAGAAAAGGAGAGTTAAATAGCAATCCTGAAGAACACTGACAGGCACTATTCCAAACGCCCAGCTAAAATTGACAATTTTTCACACTGAACATCATCCAATGAAAAAATGGTCATGTCTTACCTGCCCATGCCATGCATAGTGCAAAATAATAGCTGAGTTAGGATGGTTTCCAAGGAAAATTGGCATCAGAGTAGAGATGAGTTCATGGCGCAAGCTGTGCCAGGAGCTGTTGATTTGTAGTAAGGCCATTACCAGCATGTCTGGACAGTGTTTGATAGGGAAGCTAAAGAGCTGTTTGACTTGCTCATATTGTCCCACCTCTGCAAGCCTCAGTAGAGATTCAACCAAATCCAAGCTCTTCCTAACAAGAATGGAAGTAAAATACTCCATCAATGAAAATCTAGATAAACAAAATCCACTTTACAAATAAGTGATACCAGCTATCAGAATAAAACCAAGTTGTTGTCGTCATCATTTAATATTTGAAAAATATTTAAATTGGTGCTGTTCACCTGAAAAATATATGCTGCTATGCTATCAGACTAATTTCAAAGGCAATCCAAATTAACAATGAAACATTATGAAGTAGATGCCTTTGGGGACCAATCCAGCCCATACACACTCCCTTCAGTGGCTCTCAACAGTAATGAAGGTACTTTCACCATCTTTACCTCACATCCCCGAAGAGAAGTGATTTGAATTCCAGGAGAAACCTACGAGGCGGGAGGCATATTCTCCCTCAGAAATTTAAAATTGGAACTCAGAGAAAATAGATACTTTTGCTGAAAATACTAGATTTGATGGGTTGGCCTTCTTGAGCTACTCTTAATAAAAAGCAAATCTACAGAAAAGACAGGGATCTAAAACACTAAGGGAGACTTACGAACCTCCTTCCAATATTTAATAGTTTCAGAAACTAATGGCAGCCCTTACAAGAGATGTAACTATCTCCTGATACGAAACTAAAAGTGTATTTATCACCCTCTATAAAAATTTAAGATAACTAGGCTCATTAAAAATACTGTTCCACTGAAACCTTTTAACTATGTAGTTGCTCACTACTAATTTCATTTTTCAAAAAAGTAGAGGTAACCCTTTCAAGACAAGTGAGATAATTACTTACCAAGTGGCAATTTCTCGATTGTCATCCTCCGGTGGTGCTTTCAGAATATCAATGACAACAGTATGACAGGGATAGTCAGCAAAACAGAAGATCTCTGGATTTATAAGGGAATGCTGAATAAAGGAGAGCTGGAACAAGAGAAAAAAGTCCTTACCACCATAAATAATAGTGAATGCTATAAAAACCTGAAACATTAGGCTATCCTTAATTATAAGGTTATTAGAATGACAATTTCCCTTTAAAATCAAAATTATTTGCTCTTTCAAAATCACAGACAATTCAGACAGATGAAAGCTGTAGGATGACATGGCCTTGGAGATAAACATCATTAACAGTTTTGACTGCTAAACTTCAACTCAGTATAATACTAAACTATGATAGTGTTCCTTCAAATTTATGAGTCTTCTGCTTTTCTGAGCCATGCAAAACTCTACTTTAAAGAAATATTTTAACCGATGGATAGATGGCACTATATAAGAAATGTCATTTCCCAGTACACCAAGGTTGAGGGTTCAATCCCAGGTCAGATGGAGAGTTTCATGTTAAGTGAGATAAGTCATGCAGAGAATGGTAAGTATCACATGATCTCACTCATATGTGGAATCTAAGTAACAAAATAAACTGATAAATGGAGTGTATCCAGAGACATGGAAGCATGGAACAGAGTGTGGAATCTCAGGAGGATGGGTGAGAGGTAATCAACCAAGGACCTTGTATGCATATATGCATGGCCCGTGGACACAGACAACGGGGCAGTGAGGGCCTGGGTTGGGCTAGAGGGGGACAATGGGGGAAAAGGTGGAAATACGTAATACTTTCAATAATAAAGATTTTTTTTAAAAACAAAATCCCCGGTCAAGAAACATACACGAATCAACCAATGGCCCAGCCATTGCGGTTCAGTGACTGAGTGTCAACCTAAATCAGAAGGTCACGGTTGGATTCCTGGTCAGAGCACATGTTGGGGGTACAGGCTCAATCCCCAGTAGTGGGGCATGCAGGAGGCAGCCAATCAATGATTCTCTCTCATTATTGATGTTTCTATCTCTCTCACTTTCTCCTTTCCTCTCTGAAATAAAATATATAAAATGTAAATAGAGAAGAATCAACCAATTAATGCATAAATAAGTGGAACAAATCAATGTCTCTATCTCTCTCCTTTCATCCCCTTCCTTTCACTCTAAAAATCAATAAATTAAAAGAAATAGTCATTAGTTTGTTCCCCTTCTATAGCTAATCACCATTCATTTACCTGGCCTTCTGCGTTTTTCCAAGGTCTATATATGAGGTCTACTGGGAAAACATCCATACCCAAACCCCTTTGAATGCCATAAACCACATTATGAAGTCCTTTACTGTCACGAATTTGAAATCCAGGATGATCCAGTTCATAAGTTACTTCCTTGAAATTCAAACCCGGGTTCTAAATAGAAAAAAATTTTAAATTTGAATGAACAGAAGTGTACATATTTCATATTAGATGCTTTATCCAAAAAGCCAAATTGAATCTGAAATTCAATCAAGATGTTCCAATTATAAACTCAAAATCATCTAAATCTATCTGACATTTCCAATGAGAATTAGAAAGGTAAATTCTTAATATTTAAACTAAACTGTCTCTCTACTAGCAGGGTACTCTAACCATGCAGTTCATGAGATACTTCTGACCATATGAGTACACAAATGGAACTCTCTTCCCCTACTTAAGTCCAATGAACACGCCCATCCCAGTATGGCAAATAAGTAACTCTTCACTCAATGTCTTTTCTTTTCTTTTTTTTCTTTTTTTTTTTTAAATATATTTTATTGAGTTTCCACAGAGAGGAAAGGAGAGAGATAGAGAGTCAGAAACATCGATGAGAGAGAAACATCGACCAGCTGCCTCCTGCACACTCCCCACTGGGGATGTACCTGCAACCAAGGCATATGCCCTTGACCGGAATCGAACCTGGGACCTTTCAGTCCGCAGGCCGACGCTCTATCCACTGAGCCAAACCGGTTTTGGCAATGTCTTTTCTTTATATCAAGATTCAACTACCTTGGAACAAAAATGCAAAAATAAATACATTGTGCCATAACCGGTTTGGCTCAGTGAATAGAGCATCAGCCTGCGGACTCAAGGGTCCCAGGTTCGATTCCGGTCAAGGGCATATGCCTTGGTTGCAGGTACATCCCCAGTGGGGAGTGTGCAGGAGGCAGCTGATCAATGTTTCTAACTCTCTATCCCTCTCCCTTCCTCTCTGTAAAAAACATATTTTAAAAAATAAATAAAAAATAAATACATTGTAACAAGCACCATTCTTCATTAACTAAGGATTTTCCCTAAAAGCCTACCAATGTGTGCATTAGGAAAAGTCTAGATTATTTATAAAAAAGTAACATAAAATTACGTTCAAAAAATGTTCTATGAAAAGGTACTCAAAAAAAGCTTGAGACTCCTTAAAGAAACACAAAGCAAAGGAAACAAGTATATAGAACATAATTTTATGCTTGAAAGAAAAAAGGCTATGCACATTTTGTATTTAAAATCTCCAATTAAAGCATCACAGTCCATTTAGTTTTGCCCTAAAATGACTCCTGTTAAGCCATGAAAACTTTTTTCTTTTTCTATTTTATTTCATCCCATGCACCAAGAGGTCACAGGTTCGATTAATGTTTCTCACAGATGTTTCTATCTTCCTCTCTCTAAAAATCAATAAAAACTTTTTTTAAGTTTATAAAATACATTGTTGCACTCATTCAGCTAGGCATTTTATTAAAATTTATTTTCTGGCCCTAACCGGTTTGGCTCAGTGGATAGAGTGTTGGCGTGCAGACTCAAGGGCCCCAGGTTTGATACCAGTCAAGAGCATGTACCTTGGTTGCCGGCACATCCCCAATAGGGAGTGTGCAGGAGGCAGCTGATCGATGTTTCTCTCTCACCGATGTTTCTACCTCTTTATCCCTCTCCCTTCCTTCCTCTCTGTAAAAAATCAATAAAATAAAAAAATAAAAAAAATTTTTACTTTCTGTGGGCTACATCATACTAACAGCATGAATATAAAATCATGATTACATGTATTTACCAGCTCTTTGAGAACATCAATCAAGACTTCAACATTCCATGTGTGTGCCTGTGCCCCATCACTTTTATCTTTTCCATCACTCCAGATCCCACTGCCAGGAGCAGAGATACTCTGTGGAAGTAAAGTTTGAATTAAATAAACCCAACTACTTAAAGTGCTCAGCTCTGATTGGCAGAATAACCAATCATAATGTAATTTAATAAATAGGGAAGGGAAGGGGTGCACTTCATTCATGTTGTTTTAAAATAGCTGATTTCTACACTTACCTGCAATGGAATTCCATCTGTTAATCCTGAATGAGTTCGAGCCATCATTCCCAAAACCCTTGCTACCTGGCCAGCTGTAACCTCCCGAACACCAAACTGCATGATTATATTGCGACATTCTTCAATACTGAAACAGAAATTAAACTTCAGAAAAACACTAGCACCATCAATATAAAGGTTAAGAAATGCTAACATAAAATGAGCCCTTGAGTGAAATCCCTAGCTTTACCGATATAGGCAGAGTTATAACGCTTCATTCTTATTATTTTTATATAGGTGTGGGGGGGAGGGAGGAGAGGAAGAAAGGGAGAGGTAGGAGGGGAAGAGAGGGGGATAGGGAGACTGAGGGGGGAGCAAAGTGGGGGGGCAGGCATCTATGTGAGAGCAAAACATCAATTGGTTGCCTTTCTTATGTGCATGGACTGGGAATCAAACCCACAACCCAGGTATGTGGCATCACCAGTAATTGAACAGGCAACCTTCGGTGCACAAATAATTGAGCCACTCCAGCTGGGCTGAATAAGTTCCTCTTTAAAATACTGATATTCACCCTAGCCGGTTTGGCTCAGTGGATAGAGCATTGGCCTGCAGACCAAGGGCACATACCTTGGTTGTAGGCTCCTACCTGGTTGGGGCTTGTTCAGGAGACAACCAATCGATGTCTCTCACATCGATGTTTCTCTCTCTCTTCTACTCTACCTAAAAATCAATGGAAAAATATCCTCGGGTGAGGATTAGAAAAAAAAAAGAAGAGGAGGAAGAAGGAAGAAGAGGGAAGAAGGAAGGAGGAGGAAGAAGAAGGAAGAAGAAGGAAGAAGAAGGAAGAAGGAGGAAGAAGGAGAAGAAGAAAATACTCATATTCAAGATAAATTTAATTATTACGGTATGTACAAAGCCTTAAAATACATGCTAACTTTCCACTTTGCATCTTGAAGTTTAATTAAACAGAAGTTTTATGCCAGGTACACACACACACAACAAATATACATACTTTCAACCTTAAGTGGAAATGTTTATATGAGTTTTAAAAACATTATAAAAATTACACGTAAAGTGAAATCAAAGTACATTAATGCCCTTAATAACTTACTCTCACAAAAATATTAGCAATCTATAATATTACAGTTGTAAGTCCTACTCAGTTCCTTTCGTGCCCCTGGCAGGTGAGAAAAATGTGCAAGAGCAGGGTATAAAAAAGGCAGAAAAGGAAGGAGGTAGAAGATGGAAGATGAAGGTACAGTGAGGAAATTCCATGTGTGGGCAGGGAGGAGAAACAATTGCCTCAGGAGACACACCTCTCTTGGCAACTAGGTTAGGCACCTGTGATGTCTACATTTGAGGAAGATAGGAAGAGGCGACAAGAGAGAGAAATTTGGCCCCTGGGATATTTATTGCTGCCACCAAAACTAGTATGTGGAAGATTAAATTTTAAGCAAATTCTTTTTAAAAAAAATATACTTTATTGATTTTTTACAGAGAGGAAGAGAGAGGGATAGAGAGTTAGAAACATTGATGAGAGAGAAACATTGATCAGCTGCCTCCTGCACACTCCCCACTGGGGATGCCCCCGCAACCAAGGCACATGCCCCTGACCGGAATCGAACCCGGGACCCTTGAGTCCACAGGTCGACGCTCCATCCGCTGAGCCAAACCGGTCAGGGCTTTAAGCAAATTCTTGAGAGGAAAGTTGGTAATACATTAAGTAATCTTAAGAGCTTGCTTTAAAGAATTACACTGTGATTGACAGAAGAGTAATCAATTTAGTGTTTTGCTACCAACCTTGCACAAAAGCCATAGCCTACTTCTTGCATGAAATCAGCCAAAGAGCTCTCCATCATGGTTTTAGCTACCCCTCCAGAATCAGGCAGGATCCTGTCCATTAGAATGTCCCGTTTTTCAGGGTATAAAAGTGGTGCAAGCACCACGGGACAGCGTTCCTGGGGAAAATCTAAGGAAGGAAAAAGAAAAAGATTACAAGTGCTATGCTAGTTAAAAAACCAACTATTCTCTTTCACTCTCTTAGTCCTTCAAACCTGACTCTTCTACAAACTTATATTCAAATAAAAAATCTGTTCAGTTTTTCCACACCAGCTAGCCCAAACTAATGACTTCAGCTTCAATTCCAAAATTTGAGTGTTTTTATAGCACAGCAATTAATCCGTGTATTTTCCATTTTGTATATTATGGACCCAGTATCTACTGACCAATTCACACTCTAAGTATTACTTTAAACTTTCATGATATAGCTATCAGTTCCAATACAAGGAAGGCATCAGAAATAATTCAAACATCAGAATCTATTTAAATTAAGTGGAAAACTTGAATATTAAACTATATAAACAAATTAACAGGAAAAATGGATACAGGCTGGTCCACTATCAAAGATTTGCCTTAAAAAAGACTACTTTTCTCTCTAAAAGAAGAATCAGAGGAAGAAAGGATGGTGATAGAAGGAGCTATCTTAGCCTAACAATGCCAGTAGCCAAGGAATTAAAGTATGTCAAAAGTGACTAATTTTTCAAACTAAAAAGAACGACAGATATAGTCTCTGTCTCCCCAAGGGACAAAAAAGCCTATATGGAAATATACCACTTCTTAAAACTGAGGCTGTATTTATATAACAAGATTATTGATGAAGTTAGGTTCATTTTATACCTTTCCTACAAGGCTTTTATCACTGTCATATTTTAAGTTATACAATACTCACTTCCTTAAAAGATTACCAACTTAAGAACAGAAAGGTAAATCAGCCTTCACTTATATCCTAAACTCATCATCCAAAGAAATAAACCTTTACAAGCTACAGGCACTCCTTTACCTCTGCGCAGTGTCTTAAGAAAAGCGTCTATCTGCTCCTGTCCAACTCCGAAGGCTCCCTTCTGCCCAAAGAGGAGATGGGAGAGGAGGAGGTGTAGCACCTCTATTGCTATATCTTGGAAGCCACCTTCTTGATTTCCACTGACGTCTGCGTCAATGTAAGAACGCAGAAGGTCTGGGAGCTTCTGTTTGATAAACTGGGCAGCTAGAAGTCAGGTAAACAAAAACCCACAAGTTATTTTTGCACCGTAACAGGAAAAAGATCACATACCATCAAAACATAGATGACATCATTATCATTCACCAACTCATCCTTCACCCTCTAATGTTTTCATAGATCTAATAGGGTAGGTATTAAAATAAGAGACCAACTGCCAGGGACAGGGGGAGGGGAAAATGAAGAGTTGTCTCATGGAATATAATGTTTCAGCTTTGCAAAATGAAGAAATTCCCAACATCTGTTACACCACAGCGTAACCATAGTTAACACTACTAAACTACACACTTAAAAGTGGTTATGAAAGGTAAATTTTATGCGTTTTTGCCATACATGCATACATATATACACAAGACCAAAAAAATTCTTACATTATCCTTATTCTCTAAATCTACCACTATGCAACCTTAAGATTCAAAAAACTCATGGACTTTAAAGAATCTAGGCTCCTCAGGGAAAAAAGAACTTACCAAAACCTCTGAGATCTGAGCTGGAAGAATTCAAGAGGGCAAGGCCAAAAATTACCTGAAATAGTAAGGGTTAGATTAATCAGTCAAATAGCTGTTTTAAATTTAATTTTGCCTACATCTCTTTTCTTAAATCACTTACCTCTTGTACTTTGCTTAACTTGAGAACTTTACTTAGCTGGGCAAATAAGTGGGGTGCAGGCTTTAAACTCTGAAACAAACCAAACTTTATTTTAAAACAAGAACTTACAATTTTCAAGAAGTTTATGAAAGCACCTATTCACCCAATTATAGAACTACATGGAGTCACATAATTCTGTAGTGCTGCTAGAAACAATACACCATGTCCCAAAACTGTGGAATGACGAGCTTAAGCCTTCGTATGATCTGGTTTTAGTAAGATTTTCTATTTACTATCAAACTATCTTGACCTTGTTAAAAAGCTACAAAAATCCCAACTTAACTACTTAAAATTTTTAAATTAAAGTATGACATTATGAGAACATGGTTTATGGCATTTTTAGAAGCCTATTAAGAGATCACATTCTTAGGACTACTAAAGACAAAAACAATACCAACCTTCTGATAGTGCAATGGATTATCAATGGCATAGGACAACGTAGAGATAAAATTTGGCTTTGTAATCAGCGAAGCACACTCCTGAATCAGAAATTGAGTCTTTAAAAATAAAAAAATACATTTTCATTAGCATTAACAGTTATATTGCAAATAGAAGCAAATAGAAACATGAAAGTATAATCCAGTATTATGCACTATATCTACATTATCAAAACCTGCTCTTTAGAAATCCCTTTAAACTACTTAAAGTATATTAGCAACAAGTGTTAAACCAAAATCTCTACAGAATAGAATACACTGACAGGATCATTATAAGGACAGTTCTGACAAACTGTTACCAGATTGAAAATAAAGCCCAAGAAATTCAATCTAAAACAAGGGATCTCCGCTCTGCCTCATTTACTTGTCAAGCAAGACTTTCCCACGTTCCTGCTGTTGTTCTTCAGGCAGATCTGATCTCCAGCTTGCTAAGCCTCAACTAGGTGCTGTCAGGGTCTGCAACCAGGCAGGAGAAGGGAGGCCAAAAAGGGGGGAAGTCCCAATAACTTTTGGCCATTCAGCTAAGATTACTTCTGGATGCTCTTTGTATGAGTTTCTACATACACTATGCTCAAAATGCAAGTCATTCCATCGAAGTCAACAAACTTGGTAAGTCCCAAATACCTGATGAAAATCTTTGCCACTGCTTTTACCATCGCCACTGAAATCCACATGAGAAAATAGGCAGCGTAATAAATGCCTGTCTGCCTCAGGACCGTGCCGATTCACAATCTAAAATGACCAAAAGAGTTTGTACTCAACATTGAGAGATTTAAAACAAAAACAAAAACAAGCTTTAGGAGAAAATCCCAAATTACATTATGCAGCGGTTCTCAACCTGGGGGTCACCTAAATACATCCTGCATATCAGATATTTACATTACGATTCATAACAGTAGCAAAATTAGTTATGAAGTAACAATGAAAATAATTTTATGATTGGGGATTACCACAACATGAGGAACTGTATAAAGGGTCGTGGCATTAGGAAGGTCGAGAACCACTGCATTAATGGTTCATTTTGGAGTAAGAGTTATAGGAATTACTGAGATGGTGTTACCAATATTTTAAAATTAAACATTTCTAAAATGTTTCTTACAGTCACTGGCAGGAAGTACAGAAGAAAAACTACCAATAAATAGCCCATATAATTGCTTTGGTCAACATCTACTCTGAAAAAATGAAGTAATATAAATGACATGTAGTAAAGATACTTTTGAAGTTGTAAGGCAAAATTTTTTAACAAACTGGACTCACAAGAGCATCACTTTTTCTATGCATTACTTTTACCTTAAAAATGTAACCTGAAATCTAACACAACTGTGCCTCTTTACAATAGCCTACAAGGCAAGGGCCTAAGGAACTGGTCTGACTTTAGTACTTTAGATGCTGCTCCTGTGCTCCATTAGTTTCTTGCTGTTCCTCAAATTTACCAACGTTTGTACTTGCTTTTCCCTCTAACTGCAAAGCTCCACATAGCTTCAGGACTTGTTCTCTACCTTCCTTTGGTTTCTGCTCTCCTCTTCAGTGAGGCTTTTCGTAATTACCCTCCCTAAAATATCAAGGTACAACCGCTTAACCTGCTTCACCCTTCTCCATAGTACTTACCACCACCTGATTTTTTCTATGACCCTCACTTTAGACTTTTAAATTGCATAAAAACAGGGAGTTTGTGCAGTTGCGTCTGCTTATTTACATCTAGGCTAGAAAAGAGCTTAGCACAATGTATGTGCAGAGTAATCATTTATTAAATGCTACAATATAACTATTTAAATACCTATTTTGGGCTAAATTGGTACTGAGCCCTAATCTTCAACAATCCTGCCAAAAATGACTTCTTTTTAATATATACATACATACATATTTTTTTTATTATTTTTTATTGATTTCAGAGAGGAATAAAGAGGGAGAAACATCAATGACGAGAGAGAATCATTGATCGACTACCTCCTGCACCCTCTACTGGGACCGAGCCGACAACTCAGGCATGTATCCTTGACCAGAATCCAACCTGGGACCCTTCAGTCCGCAGGCCGACACTCTATCCACTGAGCCAAACTGACTAGGGCAACGACTCCCATTTTATAGATGAAGAAGTAGATACCTATACCAGACTCCATGAGCCTAAAATTCAATTGTCTGTGAATTGGGGAATCTGAATTCACAGTCCAATTCCAAAGCCTATGCTTTTTCCACTGTATCATGGTAATTATGTGACAGCTGGCAAAGTTAACTTATTTTAGTTTCAATTTTCCCAATCCAGAAAAATGTAGGAGTTGTGTAAAACCAATTTCTACATTTCCCCACAGACATCTTAAAGTTAAATCCACATAATCAGATAGTAAGAACCTCTGACCCTAACCAATTTGGCTCAGTGGATAGAGCGTCACCCTGCGGACTGAAGGGTCCCAGGTCAAGGGCATGTACCTTGGTTTCGGGCACATCCCTAGTAGGGGGTGTTCAGGAGGCAGCTGATCAATGTTTCTCTCTCATCAATGTTTCTAACTATCTATTCCCTCTCCCTTCCTCTCTGTAAAAAAGCAATCAAATATATATTTTTTAAAAATAAATAAGAACCTCTGCAATTCTAAAGATTATTGTGAACCTATTTCCAATGTTGGTTTTGTGGGTTCTTAACCATTACTTAAGTTCTATAAAGGCAGAGAATTTTCCTATCTCCTGGAATGCTGAAGACAATATCTTAAAGAGCCAATTCAAATTTTAAAAATGTACCTATGCTCCAACCAAACAGACCTTACCCTCAAAAGAGCAAAAATATCTGGTTTAACAAATATTTGAGTACGAGCCAGACACCACCCAAGATACAAGCAAATACAGCAGTAGAGGAGATCAATTGGTTCCATAGCTCGCATAAAGTACATTTTCGAGGGGAAAGAAAAGCACAGGCAAAGAATTTCTGATATTATTAACTGTTGTATGGAGAAAATAAAACGGGGATATGTGATCTTGATGGGAGAGGGGCAGTACCTCAGAAGAAACCTTCCCCTAAAGATGTAACTTGTAAGCTGAGATTTATAATACTGAGGTGATAACCACAGAAGAGCTAAAGGAACAGCATTTGAGAAGAACGCCAAAGGGAATCAGGGGACCAATCATGGCTAACGAGAATACCGACTTCTCTGGCACTGTTATACCAATCAAAACAATGGAAGAAACATTCCATTAGTCTGCCCAAAATAAAAAAATCATCATTGAAGTTTTTGTTTTAACTAGGATCAGCAAAATTTCACAAATATCCCCTTTTATCCTTACATTTATTTTGATAATATTTTATAATTTCACAATAGCTTTTACAACCCCTCAATCGTCACAACCCTAACATATATGACAATACCAGGTTATTATACATTAAGTGTGTGTTTTGTTTTGTTAAATATATTTTATTGATTTTTTACAGAGAGGAAGGGAGAGAGACAGAGAGTCAGAAACATCGATGAGAGAGAAACATCGATTAGCTGCCTCCTGCACATCCCCCACCGGGGATGCGCCCGCAACCCAGGCACATGCCCCTGACCGGAATCGAACCCGGGACCCTTCAGTCCGCAGGCCGACGCTCTATCCATCGAGCCAAACCGGCTTCAGTTTGTTTTGTTTTTTAAGTCAAGGTTGCAATGACTAAAGAGAAATACCACACATATCCTGCTAACTAATGGTAGGGATCACAGGGTGTGCTTTATGGCTACTAGGGAAATGCAATATTCCTTCTGTGATATCATGCAGTCTGTCCTTCACTATGAGCAACTGTTTTTTCTTCTACAACCAAAGTGGTATTATAAAAACAAGATCTTGGATTGCAAATATGCTGAAATAAGATTTTATTGATCCCATATGATTAAGCCCTAGACATTTTTGCTTAAAATTACACCATTCCACCCATTGGGCAGGGGAAAGCAATGAAATAATTCCAAGTTTTAGGTAAGTAACTACTTTACAGTCTATTAGTAAATCTTTAGGCTATATTAAAGTAACTATATCAAAAGCATTCTACAGTACTTCTGTAGTGACCTGATCTGTGGTAAGAGTAACACATTCTCACCTAGGAATCACATATTATAAGAGAGACAATAACAAATGGTGCATCGAGTAAGAAAATCATATGGAATGGTTGGGAAACTGGGGCACTATTTGGCCTAGAGAACACACATGAGGGAAGATTAAGACAATTATGTGAAGGGTACTTGTATGAAATATTAAAATTTTTAACCCACATATTTTAGCTCATCATAAAGAAATTTCTACTAATCCCTAGCTCTCTTAATATTTTTCTAAATCCTTATCTGGGTGGTATATTGATAAAGCCAAGATTATCTGAGAAATCATGCCTGTAACCTCAGCTCCTAAAGACAGATTTAAAAAACAAACAAACAAGAACACATATATGGGCATTTTCACATAAGCTCAAGAAAAATACAAAACCTAGCCTAACAAATGATGTCAAAGGTGCCAAAAATGTCCAAGCATCTATATAATTATACAGAACTAGATTGCTAAAGTTTAAATTGAAGACATTAACTTCCTACATACATTACAATGATTACAGTTATAGAAATTGGAATAGACTATATCAAAATATATATATATGTGCTCCATACAAATAATGGAACATTTTCGTAGTTGTTAAGCTTGTTAAATATATTAGAACTCTTTAAAATATTCATTCCAGGTTTTCATTGTATTACATGGATGAATACTTTGGGCTATTTTACAAAAAACAGTGCATCTATTCCAAACAGTATAATATACTAGAGGCCCAGTGCACAAAAATTTGTGCACTCGGCGGGGAGGGGGGTCCCTCAGCACGGCCTGTGCCCTCTCCCAGTCTGGGACCCCTCAGGAGATAACGACCTGCTGGCTTAGGCCTGCTCCCGGGTGGCAGAGGGCAGGCCCAATCCCTAGGTGCAGCCCCTGGTCGGGCTCAG